AGGGGATGGGTTAAATGCAGATAATTCATTTTGTTGCTCTGTACTTGAGACAGTGGAATGACAATAAAAATAAATGCTATTCTATTCCTGCTGCTGTGCCAAATCGGATCCATTTTGTGGCTGATGTTGTCATGGTGTTTTTAAGAGATCTGACCCACTTGCAGAAAACCACTCAGAGAAACCAGAGTAAAAGTTTAACAGGTTTATTGAGGAGTTCAAATGGGCTGGATTCAGGGGAACTCAGAGAGCTGGTGAACTGGAACTGGAAGTGAGAAGGGAAGTTCACAGAGGTTAGTTCAGGGTCTTTGAACTGTGTCTTGCAAAAACAGAGATAAACGGGACTCACGTTTGTGGAGAAAGGTTTCTTTCCAGAATCCAGTCGGTGTGGGTTTTTCCAGAGATAGAGGGGCTCGTTGGAGGGTGGACAGGTTTTGGTTTGGTTGGTTCCTGAGGAGCAATGGAGCGGACTGCCACTTAGATTTCCAGGAGAACTTGAACAGGACAAAAAAGGACAAAAACAACGTTAGACTCAGCTAAACTCAGCTTGGCTACAGTACCCAAAACTGGCAAACAATCTGGCGTCGAGGTAGAGACAGTCCACCACTAAAATACTCCTCAGTGATGAGGTGTACAGGAGGACCAATGAGGACAGGGCACCACCTGGTGGCGGAGGGAGAGAAAAACACCAAAAACAAAACCCACACAGACTGGATTCCTAACAGATGTGTTCTGGAAGCAAACCTGGCTTCAACTTTCATTGTGGTTTTCAGGAGCAGTCAAATGTATCCAAAATATTCTCTTTATAAACCTTTTAATTGTCCTTGCCAAATATAAAGAAGAAAACTTTTCTTTTCTTTTGTGTTTTTAGTAAGTTTAAACAATATGTTCGTATTGTTTGTTTGAAACTTTCGTTTCAATTTACTTAACGTAAAAAAAAAATGCATGACATGGAAAAGTTGAAGGTGATAGTGTTGGGCGACCACATGATGTCAGTCACATCTTTTGTTAAATGAGACTTCATTGGCTGGCCTTTGATGATGGGTGTGGCCAGAGAGGCAATAGGTTGTACTCAACATCCAAATACAGTAGTAATATTGGATTCTGGTTGACAAATATCTGATAAAGCAACACTTTCAAAACGAAATTTATCACAATTTGTTGAGGGATAATTACAGGTTATCCAGGTGGAGTGGCAGCCTAGTGATTAGGGCATAGAGCTTGGAATCCTGATGTCCTGAGTTCGAGCCCCACTCCGACAGACTGCTCCCCGGGCGCCCCATGATGGAAGCCCACTGCATCCCAAAGGTTAAATGCAGAGGTAAATTCCTCCAATGTAAGATCAATAAAGTTAATTTTTTATAATTATTTATGTGTTGTGTTACTACAAATGTAAGAACTAAGTTTTTTTTTTTCAGGTAAGAAGCCTGCTCCTTCCATTAAAGACATTTCATCCCTCCACTGTGTGTCCCAAGCCCGTGACATCATCAGTGACCCCTCACACCCCCTCCATGGACCGTTCTCCCTGCTGCCCTCTGGGAGGAGGCTTCAAAGCATCCAATGCCGGTCCGCAGATTCAGAAACAGCTGATTCCCCACCTCCATTAGACTGCTGAATGTTGAATAAAAC